GGATCGCTCAAGGTCAGGAGTTCGAGACCAGCCTGAGCAAGAGCGAGACCCCATCTCTACTAAAAAAAAAAAATAGAAAGAAATGATTTGGACAACTAAAAATATATGTAGAGAGAAAAAATTAGCCGGGCACAGTGGCACATGCCTGTAGTCCCAGCTACTCAGGAGGCTGAGGCAGAAGGATTGCTTGAGCCCAGGAGTTTGAGGTTGCTGTGAACTAGGCTGATACCATGGCACTCACTCTAGCCCAGGCAACAAAGCAAGACTCTGTCTCAAAAAAAAAAAAAAGAAAAATGCAAGCCAACATAAACTACAACAAACATAAAAAAACAAAATACTAGGAAAAAGAACTGTGAGAAATAACAGCCTACCAGCAAATCAAATAGAAATGTGCAACATGATAAGTCATCATAAAAAACAATGCAGTTGGCCCAAAAGCAGTGGCTCATGCCTGTAATTCCAGTACTCCGGGAGGCCAAGGCAGGAGGATTGCTTGAGCTCTGGAATTCGAGACCAGCCTCAGCAAGAGCGAGACCCTGTCTCTATGAAAAATAGAAAAACTCTACCTCAAAAACAATGCAGTTAATTAGAACCATGGTATACTATTGGTGGGGATGTAAAATGGCACAGCCACTGTGGTAAACAGAGGTTCCTCAAAAAGTTAAACACAGAATTACCAGTAATTCCATTTCCAGGTATATACCCCAAGGAACTGAAAAGAGATATTCTAATAAACACTAGTACACAAAATGTTTACTGTTTGTGAACTATTATAATAGTACAGCACTATTTATAATAGCCAAAAGGTCAAAACAACCCAAATGTCCATCAATAGATGATCCATACGATGAAGTATCATTTAGCCCTAAAAAGCAATGAAGTACTTACATATGCCACAATGTGCATAAACCTCCAAAACATTATGCTAAGTGAAAGAAGCCAAACACAAAGGTCATATATTAGATGATTCCATCTATTTACATGAAATATTCAAAATAAATATATTCAGAGATAGAAAGCAGATTAGTGGTTGCCAGGGGCTGGAAGGAGGGAAACGGAATGGCTACTGGATGAGTACAGGATCCATCCAGCTGGACATAGTGCAAATGTTCTGGAACTACATAGAGGTAATGGTTCCACAACACTGTGAATGTACTAAATACCACCAAATTGAATACTTCAAAGTTTATTTTATGTTACGTGAATTTCACCTCAATAAAAACAAATATAAATATCCCCTCCCAAAAAATATAGGTCAAGAACAGACATGCTTCTTGTCAATTTTTAACACAAAATACTAAAATTGTTTTCCCAGAGATTTCTTTATATACCTGATTACTAACCTTTTCTTCAATCCTTTAAGACATACCTGACTAAATCTATCACTTCCTTTCCTCTAGAATCTTCATTTGTATATGGCTTAGCTGCCCTTACTCCATTCTCACTATCCCTCCATCAATCCTTCATTTCGCCCCAGAAACCCCTGTTCTACAGTAAGTCAGCTACCAGTTAACTTGCTCCCTTTGTGTTCCTCAGCTTTACGATTTTAAAATAATCTTCTATCTCCTTCATCCAATAAATTACCAAGTTATGTCCACACTCCCAACCAAAGCTCTCTCTCAAATCCATTTCCTTCTTGCTATACCCACTAACACCACCTAGCTTTAATTCTGTCTTCATCACTTTTAGTCCAGATTACTACAATAAAAAGCCCACCCACCCATCCCATCTTGAAAACTGCTAACTCTACAATTCAACCTCCATGCAGTCACTAGAATTCTTTCCACACTAAAAATGTGAATGTTACTTGTCTGCTTAAAATCCATCAATGGAGGCCGGGCGCGGTGGCTCACACCTATAATCCTAGCTCTCTGGGAGGCCGAGGCGGGCGGATCGTTAGAGCTCAGGAGTTCGAGACCAGCCTGAGCAAGAGCGAGACTCTGTCTCTACTAAAAATAGAAAGAAATTAATTGGACAACTAAAAATATATATATACATATAAAAAAAATTGGCCGGGCATGGTGGTGCATGCCTGTAGTCCCAGCTACTTGGGAGGCTGAGGCAGGAGGACTGCTTGAGCCCAGGAGTTTGAGGTTGCTGTGAACTAGGCTGACGCCATGGCACTCTAGCCCGGGCAACAGAGTGAGACTCTGTCTCAAAAAAAAAAAAAGAATCCATCAATGGATTTTAATTAGACCCTTTAAGACTACCCTTCCTTTTCATTACCCAACACTTACACAATAAAATTTTCATAAATGAACCTCCTCCATATACCTCTCCTTTTTAACTATACCTGCTTTTTGCTAACAATACCATGTAACTAGTAACCCTCTTTCATGGACACTTTATCTCCAACTAACTCCCATCCTGTTAAACAAAATGAGAATGGCCACCCTGGCCACATCATCACTCTTACTCCCGTGCCATACCATGTCCATCATCTATCATCATTCTACTTCCCGTTTAGGTCCATATCATCAGTTAAATCAAGCTTCCAATTTCTCATCACCATCCTTTACCATAGTCATCACACAGCTCCAACTTCTTCAATGAATTCAGCACCTAGTTCATGTTTTTCCCAACCTATCCACATTCTGCTATCAACTTTAGCATCTCTGAAGATTCTTTAGAGCAAAGTAGAAAGACATAGAGAGCTGATTTCAAAGGAAAGATAACAAGCTTCAATTTATCAAGCTTTCTTTTCAGTATGTTAAATCAGAAACAGTATTATACCCAAATGGAAATATCCAGTAAGGTATACATGGGGAACTTGAAATCAACAAAATGATTAAGAAAAGTAGATGCCAATTTGATGACAATAAGTAAAAAATGATTAATGTAACTAGGTATGATCTCGGGGAAGGCAATTTAAAGAAAGAAGAACAGGCTAAATGGTTATTATGGCCTTCTATGATGTTATGCCTAACCCTGGATCATTTGGTTTCTGTCCTCTTGCTCCAAGCTGCCAAGAATTACCAGATAAAGGTGGAGAATCCTTCAAAGTGAGTTCACTACAAGTTCATATTATTTTAATTTTGACTAAATACTACTTCTAAGCAACGCTTTATTCTCTTATTGTTGATTCATTAGCATGCAACAATTTCTAACCTGTAAGTTTCAGACTCCTGGGGAATTACAGGATCAGCTACCTCAGTAGGTACCCAGAAGCATGCATTATATAAAGGCTATCTCCCATATATATGAATTAACATTTTTCAAATATACAGTCAATGCTGTGGTTAATAAAATACAAAGTCATGTAAGAGTACTGAATAGTAGCTTTTCTCTAATACACATTTTCTCAATAAAAACTAAAAATACAACTATAGTCATGGGGGGGTCCACAAATTGTTTTCAAGTTATAAAGGTTGTCATCTTCAAAATATTGGTAACCCCTGCCTGAAAAGTATTCCCCACAGCACTTAAATATCCACACTCTAAGCTTCCAATTATCCTCTGCCTTCTCCCACTTCTGCTTTCATTTTCCCAAGAAAATCAAACACATCCTCATATGTTCTCTCATCCACCTCAATCCATCTGAATTTATTTCTTCTATACTTCTATAAATATCTGATAATTTAGCGATTACTGGTGTATCTCTTCCTTTCTAAGACTAATTCAACAACATATACACCTGATACCATCTCTTACCTAGAACCCCTAACTTGATCTATCAAACAGGTTTCAAACAGGTTTAGTCTCTCCTTTTTCAAAAGTTTCTTCCTTTCTACCTAAAAACATTATCCCTTATTTGGATAAAACTACTTGATTCTGCTCTATGTTCTAACTACTATTCTATCTCTTTTCTTCCTTTTGCTATCAAATTCTCAGGGTTAGCAAACTACAGCCTGAGCCAGCCACCTGTTTTTATAAATAAGATTTTCCTGGAACAGCCACTCCCATGTCTTTAGGTATTACCTAAGGCTGCTTTCCCAAAAGGGCAGAGTTGCGTAGTTAAGAGATCATACGGCCTGGAAGCCTAAAATATTTCCTACCTGGCTCCTTAAAAAAGTTTGCCAAAAGTTTGCCCCATGCTTGGGGCTCCAAGCATGATCATTTCCTCTAAGAAAAGCGGGGTGCCATTAAAGATTCTGGAGCACTAATAAAGTACCATGAATAAAAAGCATTTCAAGACTACTAGCTTAACAACGGTTTGTAGGGCAGATATAAAACAAGACCATTTAGGAAACTACTGCAAGAGACTAGTCATTAGGCATAAAGAGAGGGAAATGAAAGGAAGGAACTTTTTAAAGGAATAAGCATTAAGAGTAGCTAACTACATGTGACAGAGGAGACAAAGCTAACACCAAAATTTTAATCCACCATGATGTAGTTCTCAGAATTTGCATTCTCTCCTACAATCTACCCTAGACTTATAGCTCTTCATATTAATATTTTCCTGTCTTACTGATTGTGGAGTTCCTAAAATCCTAATACTAATTCTGTATCTTCTGTGTAACAGGCATTCCCCATGCTTACTAACTGGCTAATTCCTGGGTAAGCAAATCCCTCAGCAAGAGGCAGTCCTAACAGAGTTGGCTGAATGAGAGCACAGGGCCTATGGTAGAGGTAGACAGAGTACTCACCTGTGATACCAAGCAGAGAGAAGAGAAGTAAGATTTCAGGTCCAGAACTGGCTCTAGCCAAACAGAAGCAGCAGCTACGTATCTGCTTACAGTAGAAGCAGAGTGTCTTTGGTATTCTGACATACTCCTGATGATCAGACAGACCACCATTAGAGTAGCCACTGGTAAGAGAGTCACATGAGAAACAAGCCAAAAAACAAGACCAAAAGGTGAGGATTTAAATGGAGTAGACCCTATTGGTCTTTTGTCTAGGAAAAGCAGTCTTCCATATTAAAGACGATACTACTTTCAAAATGGTCAATATGATACTAACCTTCAGTAACAGAGTCTTCACATCCCACAAGGTTGAGAAGGATATCATCATCCTTATCATCGTCTTCACTTCCCAGTAGCATCCAGCTTTCCACATTATCACTTTCTGAAATAGTGCTCTCTTCCTCATCACTAGAACTGACCTCTATAATCATGACCTCTCGGATTATACCTGATCTCTCTTCAGGTTTAGTTTTCTCAATATTGCTCTCACATTCCTTATCAGCCAACTCATTAGAATGAAGAGCAGCAGAAGGATGTTGGGCCTTTTCTTGTGCTTCCACTCTAACATTCTTTCCTTTACATTTGTAAATACTATCTTCATCAGACAAAGTGATGACCTCTGACCCATCTGATAGCTGGATGGCCTCACTATCTGAAAGGACAATTAAGTTCTTTTGATCTGGTTTAGTAGTTGATGATTCAGAATTCCCAGCATTCTCTTCTTCACATTCTTCCTCCTTGATAATGTTACCAAGATCTTGGGCATAATGAACTTGGCTGTATAGCTGAAATTCCACCTCACTGTCAACACTCAGTTCACTAGATGATTCTTCCCGGTAAAGGTCATCTTCATATGCTTCTACAGTCTCGTAGCCACCAAACATCATGGAAAGGCAGTAACCTTGATGCTGTAAAAGAGAAAGTCATATAAAGAATGTATTATAAAAGTTCAGATCATTCCTATTATACAATATCACCCCTTAGAGCCAACTTCTATGTGAAGGCCATCACCATTCTCAAACACATTAAAATAACTTTTTTCCAGGGATTTCTAAATCCTGTTATGACCTACTGTAATAATGCCCACCCTTCTCAAATGAGAATAACTACCGACAAATCAAGTTATAGTTATTAATGGAAATACAGCTATGTGTTGCTTATCAGTGGGGATACATTCTGAGAATTGTGTTGTTAGGCAATTTCATCATTGTGTAGACTTACATAAATCTAGATGTAGAGTAGACTTACACAAATCTAGATGGTATAGCCTATTACACACTTAGGCTATATGGTATAGCCTACTGCTCCTGGGTTACAAACCTGTACAGCATGTTACCGTACTGAATACTACAGGCTACTGTAACACAATGGCAAGTATTTGTGTATCTAAACATAGAAAAGGTACAGTAAAAATATGGAATTATAATCTCAGGGGACCACTGCCATATATGTGGTCCACTGAAGACCAAAACATTGTTATGTAGCACGTGACTGTATCATATTTCTAAGGTATATTAGAAAGGAAAAACAGGTTGAGACCACTGCTTGATGCCAAACACTTGTTCTCCAAAATGTTAAAAATTGCAAAATGATTTTCAGCAGCTCTCAGTATTCCATTCATCCTTCGTCTTTTCCTTGGTTCTGGTTCTCTATCTCATCTTTTCAGGTATGCATTCTCATACAGGAATATTACTTCGACTATGACTAAAATCCACAACAGGAAACAATTATCATATTTATTGTTTGGGTGCAGATGTTTATTCTCAATTAACAAATTAATCTCATGGCCTTAGGATCCTTGGCCAAAAGAATACATAAAAATATTTGAAAAACCTGCTTACTTCCATGCTAGTTATAAAAATGTATATGAAACACTAACTTAATAATTAAGACCTAAAATTGAGGCAAAACTCCCAGCTTTGGGAATAAATGCATAAAGTGAAATACTTTACTTTCTACTGTGAATTAAATCCTTCTCAGGCTTCAACTCAGCATAAACATCATTCCACACCCAGACTAGATTAAGTGTCCCTTTTACAGGCTTCCATAGTACTTTACATTTCAAAACACTCATCACATTTCTAATTACTTATTCAAAGTAAATCTTCCAGAAGCAAAGATCACAAACCCCAGGAGGGCAGGAACTATACCTATTCTGTTAAAACAATGGAACATCAAAGCCAAGCAGAGTAACTAGCATTTAGGGGCACATCTATAAATGTTTCTTGAATTAGTGAATGAATAAATAAATGAATTAGATCATCAGGCATTTGTTCTTCAGCCCTGATAAGTTTAATATGTATTTAAAATACAGAAATTATGATGGGGTGAATTTCTCAGTTGTCTTCAACTATTCCGAAGTCTTAAGTTCTCATATCACCAACCAAAAATCTATACAGCAGATATTTCAATGAGGTACTGATGGAATATTGATCAAAATGAAAGCTCTGGAAAAATAAGTTGTTTGTTCAAAAATCAGGGACAGCCTAGAAATAATAACAATACCAATTTATTTATTCTTTTTTCCACTTTTAGCTATATAGATATAATTAAGAAAGAAGAGTCATTTTTTTAGTTTCCCAAACCTTTGCCCAAAATGTCAGGGTGTTGTGATGGCAGTTTTGGTAATAGAACCACTGACCCCAAGAATCAAATGAACAAGAGCCAAAAATGCACTACACTCATGCTGAAGTTTTTGTTTTCCAAAAATAAAGAAACCAACTTTTAATGCCTTTTTTCTTCTAAAAGGTACAATTTACCTGTTCCTTTGTTGCACTGTCCTTCAGGTTGCTATGTTGTTATTTCAATACAAGTTGAATGTGGCTGTCTGAATAATAACGCTCATGGCATTTATCAGTTTATATTGAAATGTTAGCCTCAGAGGAATTCAAATAAAAGATGAATCCTTTCCTTTTATTTAATAGGTAAATTAATTCTAAAAGAAGTCAAAGGAATTATGCTTCCTTCAAAATCCTCACTGGATCCATCCTGAGGATCCAGTGTGAACTTAAGATAAAACATAATTCCAGTGCAGCACAGAAAAATTAAAGAGCTAAATTACAGAGTTACAAATTTGTACTACTCTTGGAGCCATCCCAAAGGAAAGGGATTAAGAATAGAGCCATAGGCACACCTGTGAATGTATGCCAAAAATAAACTACAGAACCATAATAAAAACTGACTTCCTTGGGTTTAAGGATTTCAGAACCATAATAAAAACTGACTTCCTTGGGTCTAAGGATTTATCTCTTCCCCTGAAACGTAGAAAAATGAATTTAACAATTTAGCCCCTATGGCCTTTAAGAGGATTTTGTACCTTGCCTCTGTACTTGAAAATTGTGCTCCCTTATAACATGCTCTTTTATTTGCCACGGTTAAGGTTTGCCTGAGGCTGTTCTGGTTTATGTTACTGCTTTAATTATGTTCAAATGCATTTAATTTACATTTTTTTTAAAGTGTATACTCAGAGGACAATATATATTTTACACACACACACACACACTCTGACTCACAAGGCTTTCTCAGCTTTTTGATCCTATACACAATTCCCAAGCACACTTAACTGGATAACAAAATCAGATTATCATACACAGACTCCTCAATCTACGTACCAGGAAACTGAGGTACAAAAAGATTACGCCTATCCAAGGTTATGCAGCTGGTTAAAAACATCGCTAGAACTGATTCACATTTCTGACTCTCAGTCGAGTTTTCACTAAAACTTTAAAACAAAATTTTCAAAATAAATAATTTCAAATTAAGATTTTTTTAAAAAAAACATTCCTTCATTGCTATACTTGCATTGATTCTAACACTTAAATTTACCTCACAAATATCCATTTTATGTCCCAGTGGAGTATGAAAACTATGAAAGAGGCATTTTAATTGGAAAGAAAAGCATGTATTTAAATTTGTCAGTTTACCACCCAAGAATCTCCCAAATTGGTACTCAAAGACTATCAATCTCATGACCAAAAAAGATGTTTCCTATATAAGAACTTAAAATATCATAGGAATGAAACTTATCTAAAGAATTAAATTAATTTAAACATAAAAAAGCTTCAGAGAATAACTACAGAGGCTCTCACCATTCAAAAATTCACTGAGTTTTTTCAAACTAGACAACTTAAGGCTTATTTAAGCTTTCAGAATTTACTTAACACAATCTTTAAAGCCAATCCTTCTGCTCTAACAGTTTACCTACTACTGGTCATTTTGGTCTTATGTCCTTCCAAAGCACTTTTAACCTAGATGTTCCTTCCTGATGATATAGGCATCCATCTCAGGCAGATTTAAATCAAATCCACAATTTCATTTTAAATCCAATTTTCATTAGAATGTGATCAATATGTAGTTTATTTTCAACTTAAATTTCTTATTTACTCTTGAGCTGCCCTCACAGTGACAGCTGAAAAACAACTGACTATAGGGTTAATATTTCTGTCCATTCTTCAAAAGTGGCTGCCACTTTGAATCAAATCTGGCTGGGATAGAGAAACCACGTGTGTGAAACAAAGGTCCCAAAAGAGAGGAAAACAGAATACAGTATCTTGGTGGGAGAAAATTATGCTAAATTTAGTCACATTACGTCCCAGCTGTTCTTGGGACACATACATGCTTTTTATGACAACTAACCCCGCCTGGAAACACTTCCTTCATCTTTCCTCAGCCCTTTTCCTTCTACCATGCACTCTCTTACCCTTCAAGCTATCATATAATCCCAGCTCCAGTTCTTACTCAGGTCTTTCCACGCCCTCAGATTCTCTTGAAAACAAGGCTAAAATGTCCCCAAAGCATAATACTATCCTAAATATACACAATCCAATTAAAAGTCTATGGATGTGACAGGCTAAGTACTTAAAACACAAAGTCAAGAGCTTTTGAAGGGTCCTGAAAGAGTCATCAAATTAAACGCTCATTTTATACCTCGAGAAACTGGCTCAGAGAAACTTATTCACTGAGCTAAAAAAAAAAAAAAAACAAAAGGCCCTTAAGGATCCCCTAATTCAACCCTGTAATCCAAAACAATCGTAAATTCAACCTAAATAAGAGATTTCCAGAGTCACGAGCGAGTCAGTGGTGTAGCCGTGTCTAACCCAGGCCTGCTGACTCCCAGCCAGTTTCTCCATTGCACCACAGCTCTTCCCTGAAGTTGAAGGCAGCTGTCGGCTCACGGAATGTGAGGGATAAAGAGAATCTTAGTAAACACAGCTCATGTCTCCTTGTTTTACGTGAGGGAAGGACACAGCTCCCTTAATATTTCTGGTCCCACACAGCTGCAGCTGCAGCTTCTGACAGAAAAGGCAAAAGTTGGCCCAGGACTACTCGGTCCTCAAAGACTCCCTTTCAGCGCGGCGGGGCCTCCGCGTGAAACCTTACAGGAAGGTCAAATAAGCAGAAACACCGCCCCGACCGAGGCTATGGACTTCCAGCCCCTCTTGAATCACGGCTTCGGGCCTTGGAGAAGCAGGGAGATGCGGACCCCATCCCGACAGCCAAGCCGCATGGGGCGGCGCGCGGCTGAGGTGCCATGAGCTGCGCCCCGCCACGAGTGGAGGACGGTCGGGGACGCAGAGGCCGGCGAGGGGGCACGCGCTAGTTTCACAGCCCGGCCGGCGAGGCGGAGGGTAGGCAGGGCTCCCGCGGCCGCAGGCGGCTCGGGGTCCGTCACACACATACTCACTGCCGCGGCTGCAACCAGGAAGCACCAACCAGCATCCGAAACGCGTAAAGGGACTGGGAGGGGCGAAGACAAGTGAGGTAAGGAATCTGCGTCCGCGCAGACGTGGGAGGAGGAAAGGCACTTCCGGGGAAAACACAGGTCTCGGAGTCGTCTTTCGGTCCCCGCCCTCCCGCTGGGCCTCCTGTGCGCATGCGTGACAACTATTAACCCTTTCTCTTCCTCGCCAATAATCTTTTGGTTTGCCTTCCTTGCTGTGCTCTTTCCCCCTCACACCTTCTTTTGAAGGTATCTAGGCTGCATCTATTTTGGGGCATACATTGTTTGAGTGACTTTCACGAAAGAGATGCTAATGGCCGGGCAAAAGCAGGGGAGTTCGAGCCCTCTGTGCCCGCGAGAAAAACTACAACTCCCATGACGACCCTGGGCGAGTCTCCGGCTGGGCTCGCCTTCTCAGTCGCGCTCGGGAGACGCCCCCTCCGGTGACACGTGGCCCTGAAGCTAGCCGAAGCTGGGTGGGTGACGAGGGTCACGGGGCAGACGCCTTGGCCGGCAGACCCTGGGGGCATAAGAGAGAGAAAAGCCTCTTTGGGAGCCCCTGGCTTCTAGTTTCTCCCTTGTGCGAGGTGACTTTAGGCTGGTCCACCTTGTAGGTCGAAGTTGAACATAGTTCACACTGGGCGCTTCCGCCTCGCTTTATGGAATACCGGGCAACAGACTTAACCCTTGTGAACCTTGAGGAGCTGCGCTCTTGCTAAAGATTGCGTTCATGCTGGTCCTTTGGAATCGTCTGGAGGCTACAAGATTGTGCTGGGAGTCTCTGGCTTCCGTTCACCTTCTTACACTTTTTCTTTCTTTCTTCCTTCTTCTTTAAGAACGGGTGCCATAGTATCTTTATTTTTGAGAAAGGGTCTCACTCTGTTACCCAGCCTACTGTGCAGTGGCATCATGATAGCTCGCTGCAGCCTCAAACTCCCGGCCTTAAGCGATCCTCGTGCCTCAGCCTGCCAAGTAGCTGGGACTAGCAGCACTTGCCTTTTTGTAGAGACTGGGTCTCGCCATGTTGCCCGGTCTGGTCTCAAACTCCTGGCCTCCCAAAGTGCTAGGATTACAGGAGTGAGCCACCGTGCCTGACCTCACTCTTAATTTAATACTTAGTAAGCCTACCTGTACAACTTTACAAATAACTGTCAACCCAAAAGAAAAACTAAGGCAAAATTAATATAAGTGGAGCGTTTATTCCGGCCAAGTTTGAGGAGTGCAACCTGTAAGTGTAGACTCAAGTTGCTCTTAATATATGATTGGTTAGCAGCATTTACAAGTAACTTTTTAAAGGTAAAAAGAAGAGGCAGTTCCTAAATTGTTTACCAAATTGCAATAACTACCTGTTGATTGGCACTCACGTTTCTTTGTGTCACAAATTCTAGGACCTTGAGATAAAGGGTGAGGCAGCTACTGGGAAGAAAGAAAAAAAAAATACCTTTGAGCCATTTCCCCCTGGCTTAGGTGAAGTCCCACACTCTTTGTCTCTCTGGGCCTGATAAATTTTGCATTATCTCACGTAGCTCAGACTGCCCTCAGCCGTTTTTCTTTTCTCGTATGGAAACACTTTACCAATTCATTGGCCCCTCACAACACTCCTGAAAGATGAACTTTGATAAGTTTGACTTTGATTCTTCTCACCAACATTTATTGAATGTTAAGAGCCATGCAATGCTAGAAAGTGCGCATCAGCTGTAAATTTATAAAGTCACTGGTCTCATAGAGCCAAGAGTCTAGCTTTGGAAAATGGTTACAGTCTTAAGAGTTTTGTCAGGAAAATAATTAGAAAATTTAATTAATATTAAATTAAAACAATTAAGTGCTGGGAAGTAGAACAAAGTACTATGAAAAGGTAAAATTAGAGAATCCATTTTGCAGATATGAAAAGAGACATACAAGTGGGTCACAGATTATGGTATTGTTTGTTTAGGTAATGTGTATTGTATAAAACAAATATCTTTTAAAAATTCTTTGAGCTTTTATTAAGTACCAGGATTCTCCTGTATGTGTATTATGTATAATATCTTTTAAATTTCACTAACACTTTGAGGTTGAATTTTTAAATTCTCATTTCACCAAAAAAAAAAAAAAAAAGGAAACAGACTCAGAGGCTAAGTAAAACTTGCCTGAAGGCCACAAGTTTAGGAAGTACAGTCATGTGCTGCATAATGATGTTTTAGTCAACAACAGACCACATATAGACAACTATTCCCATAAGATTATTTTATGTATTTTTACTGTACCTTTTCTATGTTTAGAGACACAAATACCGTTGTGTTACAATTACCTACAATATTCAGTACAATAACATGCTGTACAGGTTTGTAGCTTAGGAGCAATAAGCTATACCAGGGGTGGGGAACCTTTTGATGTTGGAAGGCTGCATTAATTTAGCTGTAATCAAATAAGACCGCATTCAAAAAACTTCAATTAGATATAATTAAAAATATACATTATTTTGTAGAATTCTAACTAGTATGTACTTAATAATTTCAAAAAATGGAAACTATTTATTAATTTTAAAGTTAACTACCCTTTTAATGACTGTTGTGTCTGCTTTTGTTTGAAAGCATTTGAATATTTGGTTGCAGCATGGAGGTCTGCAGTTTGTTGATCCTCTAGATGGGTAGCAGTCATTTGTGACCTTAAGAGCATCTTGATTTGGGTTGCGTAGGAGAACGTAGATTCACAGCAATAAACGGTTGAAAAGCAAGAAAGCATTTTTGGGGCATGTTACCAAAGGCTTAGGTATTCTGCAATTTTCTGTATTTCCATCGAATCTTTCTTAGCATCAATGACTTTAAAATTTCATCTACTGAGAGCTCAATCAATTCCATCTGTAATTCTTTAGTGCCTTAGTGATACCAACAAGGTGAGGCTGAAATGCTGACTTGAGTGTGATGTCATGAGTCTCAAAGTCAGTGAATCTTTAATTGTATTCTCCAATTAATACGTCTAAAACAGCTGCGTATTCTTCACATGATTCACATATATCATCCTGTTCTTCAATGACCAGTGCTAACTGGGGAAAATGTTCATTCAAAATGTCCTTTTGAAGAAGAAGTGTTTTCAAAAAAGATAACTTTTTTGGAAATTCTTGGACTTTTTGCCACATATAGATTTAGTTTTACCTTGGAAAGAAATATTCAAGTCGTTTTGACTTGACAGGATATCATACAAAAATGCTATATTCCTATAGAAATCTTCTTCCAATAATTCACATTGCTGATTCTGTTCTTTGTAAATCCACACTGAATACCTCATCATTCAACTTTAGCATGTTAGAAAACTGACGATGCCATGTTGCAATATAGTTAACAAAACATAACTTATTGCAAAGTGTCACTTAAAATAGTAGCTCTAGCACAGAAATTTTGCCGATGCAAGATACAATGAAAAGAAATGAAAGCATCTGGATCTGTTAATATTTTTTTATCTGTGCAATAAACCCTTCGTGTTTTCCTGTCATGGAAGGTGCACTGTCTGTACATACACTCACTAAACTTACCAAATTCAGTCCAACTTCACAACATTTATCTTAAAAGTTGTTGAAGATGTCTATTCCCTGTGTTCTGTTTGCAAGAGTGCCCAAAGCAAGTAATTCTTCACAGCAGAGAAAATCTTCTGTTATGACACGAATGAAGTATAAAACCTGTGCCGAGTCAGTAGTATCAGTTTATTCATCGAAAGCAATTGAATAATATATATTTTCCTTTTGAAGTATTGCATGAAGTTGCTCTGTTAAGTTGAAGGCTAATGCATGCTGCCTATCAGTTATAGTTCTCTTTGAAAGAGGCAGTTGTTTGTATGTTGAAATGTTATTGGGGGTCTAAGCATCCTATAACTTGGACAATGCATTCCTTCACAATTTCTGCATCACTGAATGGCTTCCCCTTTTTCCCAAGTATATAAGCTATGTTATAAGTTGCTTCAGTGGCATTATTTACAGGCCTTATTGCTGCTTGAAAAAATTGTCTTTACTTTGCTTTTCATCTTTTGCTTTCTGCAATACAACGTTTCTCACCTTTCCTTCTGATTTAAAATATTTGTGGTTCTTATGAGTGTTGTAATACTGATGAGCATTATATTTCTTTGATGTTTATATTGCAGTATCACAAAGCAAGCAAATCATCTTATCTTTAGCAGAAATAAGATAATATTGCAATTCCCAATCCTCATTAAAAAAAATCTGTTTTATTCCTTCAGCATTCTCTTGGTCTTCTTTGACATGATGGACTATTAAGCAGACAGAATTAAAAAATAGTGTCAAGCTGTGCAACTATTCACAAAATCCACTTGAAACAGAAACACAGAGCACCACTGTCAAAACCTGATAACGGACTGGTGTACTCAACCCCTATAAACTCTTGCCAACCAGCCTCTTGAGGTAGTGACGCCAGTTAGGTGTGAGAAGTTAGAACTAAGTCATGAGTGTAGCAGCCATCAGTTGAGCCCTTATGGCTTACTAATGTTCTAGTTGTGTCGGTCAATCTGGAAGGATTATTTCATTGAAAATTATTTTATTTTTTGGTATTTTTAATAAGTTCATTTAAAAAATAAAGTAGAAATATAGAAGATGAACAAAAATGTTTCAATAAAAGCAAAAGGATTTGTTCTGTAAAATTTGGATTCAGTCAAAAGGCTGCACTTTAAGGACTTAGAAGGCCACATGTGGCCTTAAGTCCGCAGATTCCCCACCCCTGGGCTATACCATTAGCCTAGGAATATAATAGGCTATACCACCTAAGTTTGTGTAAGTCCACTCTGTGATGTTTGCACAACAATGAAATGGCCTAATGATGCATTTCTCAGTACATATCCCCATTGTGAAGAAATGCATGCCTGTACTCCTGATTACTGTGCCCCATCTTCCCACTGTAGCTCACGCATTCAACAAAAATTTACTGCTTTCTCATGCTCAAAATGCTTTAGTCACCCCCTTTAGTTTATATCTTAAAGCCTAGAGTCCTTCGAATGGCATGAAAGGCATTTCATAAGCTGACATCTGCCTACCTGTTTACTGCCACGCTGGATCCTGAGCAGTTGCTAGAACACACTATCCTCTCCCACATCTATGCCTTTCCAGAGGACACTCTC